ACTGGGGTACAGGCCAGAGGTGCAGGGGCAGTGAGAGGACTCACCAGAGACAGAGTGGGGAGCAGAACAGGCAGATTGTCAAAGTACACTGCTGAGGGGAACAGCAGGCGGGCCAGGAGAGGTCTGCTGTGCCATGTGGGATCACCTCTGGGGCAGGCGGGAATCGAACTCCTGCAGAAGTGGCTTCAGCTTCTTAATGCAGTGCTTTAACCCGCTGAGCCACCAGGGAGGGCCCAAGCCATTTTCTTAAGCATCCATTTATAAAAAGGGAAGACAAATCTAAAAATGCCAACGTTTTCCGTCAACAGAATCTTTCATGATTAGTGGGATAAAATACCGATGAAGGTAAATGTATTTATTCAAGAGCAAGTTCTGGACAAGTGCTTTGTGTCTATTAGTAAGAGCAAAATATAAGGCTAACCTTCTATTGAAGAACTGTGACTCAATACAGTCACATTTCATTCTCAGTGTCCTTGAACATTAACAGGCACTTGGCTATGCATAATTATAAAGTACCTGTAATTAGCTATTAAAATATTTCAAACCAGGGCCCTCCCTGGTGGCGCAGCAAGCCAGCCGCAGATGTATCAGTGCAAGTTCGATCCCCAGCCCTGGAGGTGACCACATGGTGAGGCAGACCTCTCCTGACCCACCCACCCGCTGCTCCCCTCAGCATTATACTTCAATGATCTGCCTGTTCTGCTCCCCACTCTGTCTCTGGTGAATCCTCTCACTGGCCCTGCACCTCTGGCCTGTACCCCAGTTCTATATGCATAAATAAATAAATCTTTATATATATATTCAAACCATTAATCTAAAATTAGGATGTTATGGATAAAGGTTAACTTACATACTGCCTCTGTAAAAAGGTTTGCCAATCGAGTAAATAAGTAAAGTCCTCAATTTTATGACAGATACTTGCATAACATTTTACTAGCATTATTTTCACTTAAACAAACTGAGGAGGGACATAAAATATAGCTATAATATAAATAAATAACTGTAAATTAAAAGCCATCTTTATAGAAATTTCCTGTAATTCAGATGTTTCTCTACTTCAGGGTATTACTTCATATATTTTAGATTTTCCAATTACATTTCAGGGGCATATCTAAATTTGTAAGAAAGGGAGATGGCCCAGATGCTAATAATTTGATGCAAAAACTTCCAAGATTTAACAATCAAAGAACACTACCCAACTGAACCTGAAACAATATTCCCTATTATATACTGCCTACTTTTTAAAAACAAGATTCAAAATCCTAAGGTTTTCCACCAAGGAGAAATTAAGACATATGTATGCTCTCAATTCCCGTAATTCTAAACAAGCAAACAACCGTTTCACAAAAATTACCTGTACTACTTGTTTCTGTAGATGTGTTGCCTGTGTCGCTGAAATCTGCGCTTTTTCACGAGCACCTCGAGAACGGTCACTGTTCACTGTAGTCATCATATACAGTATATACAAAATAACGTATGTACAAAATAGAAAATCTGCAAGAAAATAGGCATTGTAAGCAAAACATCCAGGGATAAAATTCAGGGACAAGGAAGAAGAGTGAGATAAAACATAAAAATTCTCAAGTACAAATTCTAAAAAAAAAAACAGGACTTAGATTTTCATGGCAGCTCTTAAGCTAATTTTATTAATGCTAAAAGTCAATGGTTTGCAATTTATCAACTCAAAACAAAAATCTCAAAATACCACCAATCTTTTTTTTTTTTATTAAAAAGTTTATTTTTACATCATTTTTCACATTTTTTTTTTTCATCTCAATTGTAATCCCCACGGGTTTCCCATC